CGCTATTCTTCTTCAACGCCTTCAACTGTTTTAAGATTTTTGAATGATTTGCGATTTGCCGGAGGAATACGTATACGGCTTCGGGAGTGCATCCGCTCCGCAATAGATTCAACAGAAGGCTAACCATGAAATCAGTGGAGGAATAATCAAACACAGAGTTTAATAAGCAATCAATTGGTTTAGTAATGGGTGTCGCTATCAATGCATGAGAGGAGGCGCCCACTAAAGGGATGTCTCCTCAAGTGGTGCACTGATAGGTCGCCGACACTAATGTCATACCAGAAGACTTCATACGAGATCTCGATGTTTGTGGTCTGAAGTAATAGATAGAGTTTGTCATTAATGCTCGAAATGTCATCTTTGGATGCCTTCACACCACCATTGCTTGCATTCGTGGCCGACATTTGAGTGCCATTTGTCTTCGTCTCGACCATCGCTTCTAACGGAACAACCAATCAATGGGTGAATCACTTGAGTACTCGCGAGTCAAACGGAGACTCTTTGTATGGAAAAGAGGACAACAGTGAGTGAAACGATACGTAAGTTTTCAACACAAATATAATTGCAATAAAAACATAAAATGAAGTGTTTTTTGGCGACAAACGTGTTGTCAATCGATAACCGATTTGTTTGGAAATAACAAAACAAAACACTTTTTTGTATCGATTTTCGCACGAATTTGAGAACAACTGACAAATTGGTGCCAATTCTGTGCCATAAATGATGTCTCCGATCGACAATCCCTTCACAAATGACACCTCTTTTGGTGTACGAGTGATGCAGTACTGCTGTCACGACTACATGACTGCAGCGCTCAGTCAATGGGACGACAGTTGCCTCGACTGTAGACGTAATGGTAAACAGTTGTGCAATACTTTTGTAATGATTTGTTGGATAAGAGAGAGGGAGAGAGAGATAGAGTGAGAGTCTGTGAGAGAGTCTGTGAGAGAGTCTGTGAGAGACTATGAGAGAGAGAATGATGTGATTCGACGGCTGACTGAATGAGTGTTGGGTTTGCAGTGAATTGTCTATCAATTGTTAATCAGTATTGAAATGAATGGTTAAAAACACAGTGACTATGAAAACGCTAACCATTTATGCATTGATTTCGATACGAAATGCAATACTATTTGATTGAATAGTATTTGTTTGCAGCAAACAGTCGTTGATTACAATAATCACTGAATGATTGCAAACCACTTATTAATAGCAATCGTTTCCTCGTTTTAATCCTCACATCAATTAACACAACAATTATCTGATAAACGACTCAATCGTTTGTAATGAATGAGTGAATGAGTGACACATTGAGTGACACATCCATGGATTTCATCATTTCTGTGGTGTTTATCTGAATCTGTTGTCTAATATTGTGGCCAATATTGAGTGAATCAATCGATTAGCTCAAGAATACAATGGCAGAAGTGGTTCGTTACCAACAACCAGATCCTGAGATGAAGGGGTGGCTCCAGAAGTGGACTAATTATCTGAAGGGCTATCAGAAGAGATGGTTTGTGCTGTCAAATGGTCTGCTGTCGTACTACAGGTCTGTATCATATGTCTGAAGACATGCTTATCTCATCCACTTGACCATTATTTCGATGGACAGGAATCCTATGGAAATGAGTCAGTCCTGTAGGGGAACCATAAGTCTGGTCTCAGCGGTGATCCATACGGAAGACTCGTGTAATTTCGTGATCGCAAACGGAGGCACGACTCAGACCTTCCACTTGAGGGCCACCA